TTTTTTTTTTTTTGCGACAGAGTTTCACTCTTGTCATCCAGGCTGGAGTGCAATGGTGGATCGACTCACTGAGAACCTCCACCTCCCAGATTCAAGCAATTCTCCTGCCTCAGCCTCCTGAGGAGCTGGGATTACGGGCGTGTGCCACCATGCCCAGCTAATTTTTGTATCATTAATAGAGACAGGGTTTCACCATGTTGGCCAAGCTGGTCTTGAACTCCTGACCTCAAGTGATCTGCCCACCTCAAAGTGCTGGGATTATAGGAGTGAGCCACCGCCACACTTTGGAACCCTTTGCTGATTAAAATTCCCCAGGCTCAAACCTTTGACTACTTTCCTTCTTTATCCACACCCACTCCCTTGGTGACTGCATCTAATCTCATGGCATTCAATCCTATCAATATGCTGACAAAGTATAGGCCTCCAGCCCAGACTTCTCTAATGTGGAGAAAAGCATACCCAAGGGCCCTCTTAATGTGGTTATTTGTCTAACAGGGATCTCAAAGTGAATGCATCCCTTGGCTGGGTGCAGTGGCCTATAATCCCAGCTCTTTGGGAGGCCGAGGTGGGTGGATCACTTGAGGTCAGGAGTTTTAGACCAGCCTGGCCAACATGGTGAAACCTCATCTCTACTAAAAATACAAAAAAAATTAGCCAGGCGTGGTGGCACATGTCTGTAATCCCAGCTACTCGGGAGGCAGGAGAATCGCTTGAACCTGGGAGGTGGAGGTTGTAATGAGCCAAGACTGCGCCACGGCGCTCCAGACTGAGTAAGACAGCAGCAAGACTCCATCTCAAAAAAAAAAAAGAAAAAAAAAAGAGAAAATGTCCCTCCTCTGTTTAAACTTCCAAAAGCTTCCTGCCTCATTAGGTGTAAAGGCCAAGGTTCTTACTAGAAGCTACTGGGTCTGCTGAGGCTGCTCTGAACTCACTCTCCCCCAGCACCTCCAGCCTCGTCAGGGATTCCCAGCCATGCCAGGGCCCACGTTCCACTCGCTCACATCGCCCCCTTCAGGAATACCCAGATGTCTTCTTCACCTTCCTCAGGTCAACAACTCCCTGAGGTCTATTCAAATGCGTTCTTCAGCTCCTTCAGGTCTTTACCCAAATGCCAGCTTCACCTCCTTCAGGTCCACACAAATGTCATCTGGGTAAGGCCCTCTCTGACCCTGCATCTCCTCCAACCCTTTCGAGTCGCTTTTACTGCCTTATTTTCTTTATTGTTTACTGTCTGTCTCCCCCACTAGCATGTTGGTTCTCTGAGGGCAGAGAATTGTGTCTGGCTTATGCATAGCTACATCCCCAAACCCAGAAAAGCAGCTGACAATGATAATCATGCAGTAACCACTCGTTGGATACTTTCTAATAAATCCTTCTCTAAATTAGCTCTAATGTGTCAACAGAGGACAAAAGTACTAGTCCCTGTGGCCAATGCTTCTCAAACTATGACAAGCCTCAGAATCCTTTAAGGCAGTTGTTTAAAATGCAGATTCCTGGGCCTCATTCCAGAGACTGCTTCAGTAAACACTAGGTGGGTGGGGTTACCAGCACTCCAAAGGACTCCGATTCAGACAGTATGACTGCCTTTGAGAAAACCCCCCTCAGACTCCCACACATTGCAAACATCTTATGCCTCCCCAAATGAAGCTATTTTTAGTTAATATCCTCAATGAAACCAGAGAATAAAGTATATGCTCAGGAAAAAATACAAATACTAAAATCTTGAACAAATTTTCATGACATTATCAAAGGGAATCACAGACCAAAAAGCAGAAAGAAGTATTTTCTTCAGTTCTCATCTGACATGGACAAGGACTTGTGGGACACATCTGAAGTCCCGTTAAGTCTGTGGCTCAGGAAGGTGAAGGTGAGAGATGCCCTGTGTCTCATCTGAGGTCCCACAGACACAGTATCCATGCTGGCACTCCAAACTGTTGCCTGACAGGGCAGTCAGAGGCTTAGGGAGCCATCTCCTAACCCAGACAGATGCAGAGGAAAGCCAGTGAACTCACCCACTGACTGCTGGAGGATGTGCTGTTCCTCATCGGACTCCTCTTCCAGTTCTTTCAGACTTTTCTTGGGGGGTAAGATACCCTTTTTGCGTAAGATGTCATTCCACTCAGTGTCTGCGTTGGGGTCCTAGAAAAGCGGGACCAAGGTTACCATGAGTGCTAAGCCTAGCATGTTGGGAGCCACATTGGGCACGGGGCCAAATGGGAAAAGCGACAGGAAGGGAAGAATTCACACCACAGTCTGTGAACTATTTCTGAGAAAGTGTCAAAAGATCCACAGCCCGTTTTGTTCTTCCTATCTACCCCTCCCTGAATGGAGGAGCTATTCTTGGGGTAAAAATTACGATGGGATGTGCAGATCAGCATTAATACTGATACCAAGGCTCTGACGTGGAATGCGTTCAATATTTTTAATAATGACTGAGAGTGCCGGGGGCGGTGGCTCACGCCTGTAATCCCAGCACTTCGGGAGGCTGAGGTCAGGAGACAGAGACCACCCTGGCTAACAGGGTGAAACCCCGTCTTTACTAAAAATACAAAAAATTAGCCGGGCGTGGTGGCGGGCACCTGTAGTCCCAGCTACTTGGGACTACAGGATCGTGCCACTGCACTCCAGCCTGGGCGACAGAGTGAGACAGTCTCAAATAATAATAATAATAATGACTGAGAGTGATTCATTCAACAGATAAAATTTAAGTATCTACCACATGTAAATTACTGTAGGCCATGGGGAAGAGTGGTGAATGCAAGAGTCACCTGTGTTACAGTCAAGAGGAAGAGACAGGCAACAAACAAGTGCATATACAAAGTACACACAGATAAAATTGTGGCAAGTGCAATGACAAACAAGCTGTTTTAGAGAATTACCCAGGACCCACATTCCACAGAGTAGACAGGGATGTTCCCTATAGAGGAGGTAACATTCTACCTGAGGGTGGGAAGCAACTTGTGACAGGAGTCTGGGGACTTAAAAATAATCTTGCAGGCCGGGCGTGGTCACTCACGCCTGTAATCCCAGCACTTTGGGAGGCCAAGGTAGGCGGATCACGAGGTCAGGAGATCACCCTGGCTAACAGGATCATCTCTACCAAAAATACAAAAAAAACTAGCCGGGCGTGGTGGCAGGCGACGGTAGTCCCAGGTAGTCCCAGCTACTTGGGAGGCTGAGAATGGCATGAACCCGGGAGGCGGAGTTTGCAGTGAGCCGAGATCACGCCACCATACTCCAGCCTGAGACAGAGCTAGACTCCCTCTCAAAATAATCACCATCATCATCATCATCTTCATCATCTTCCAGGCTGAGTTCAGTGGCTCACGCCTGTAATCCCAGCTCTTTGGGAGGCCAAGGCAGGCAGAACATCTGAGGTCAGGAATTAAAGACCAGACTGGCCAATATAGTGAAACCCCATCTCCACCAAAAACACAAAAATTAGCTAGGTACGCGCCCATAATCAAGAAAATCTTCCAGGCAGAGCGGCCTGTGGCATGCGTAGGGCCCAAAAGCAAAGAGACTGTGACATTTTGAGGATCTCAGGCTGCAGATGAGGCTTGGCTGACAACTCTCTAACGGCCAAACCTGAGAGGAAAAGCTGAGACTTCTCAGAGCAGCTCATAAAATGCGGGACACCCTTCTAAGCCCTTTTTCCTGTACCTTGTCACCGAATCTTCACAAGCCTAGGAGAGGCATGACATTTAGAGGCACTGCCGTGCTAGAACGGCTGGCCAAATCAGCCAGGATCAAAATCACCAAGGATCAGTGTCACAAAGACTGATGTAAAAGTGGCTCTTGGATCCAGAACCCAGGTGCCCAAGCACCGGTTTGCATGGTGCGGCAAGAACACTGCTAATGGAGCTCAGGCTTGCTTTGGAATATGAAATCAGGAGCACTGTGAAAAGGGCACTGGGATAACCAGCCTCCGACCCCAACCCTGTGTAACAATTCTGAGATACATCGAAAGAAAAATGAGGCCGGGCGCGGTGGCTCACGCCTGTAATCCCAGCACTTTGGGAGGCCAAGGCGGGCGGATCACGTCAGGAAATCGAGACAATCCTGGCTAACACGGTGAAACCCCGTCTCTACTAAAAACACAAAAAATTAACCGGGTGTGGTGGCGGGCGCCTGTAGTCCCAGCTACTCGTGAGGCTGAGGCAGGAGAATGGCGTGAACCCCAGGAGACGCAGCTTGTAGTGAGCTGAGATCGCGCCACTGCACTCCAGCCTGGGCCACAGAGTGAGATTCCATCTCAAAAAAAAAAGAGCAGAATCCTTTCTACTGGATAGTCAGGGAAGGCCTCAAGGGACCTGAAGGACAGGAGATGCAAAGGAGGCCAGGGCAGCCCTCAAGCTCCCACTTCACCATTTAGAGTGTCTAGGCCAGTCGAGGGGGCTCACCCTGTAATCCCAGCTCTTTGGAAGGCTGAGGCTGGGCAACACAGGGAGACCCCATCTGTACAAAAAATTAGCCCAGAGTGGTGGGTGCACGCCTGTGGACCCAGCTACTTCGGAGGCTGACAAGGGAGGATGGCCTAGCCCCGGAAGGTCGAGGTTGCAGTGAGCTGTAACAGTGCCACTGCATTCCAATCTGGGCAACAGAGCAAGACCCGGTCTCAAAAAAAAAAAAAAAAAAAAAAAAAATGTCCGGCTCCTGGCAGATACGCCCTCCCCTCCAGACCCTAACGCCTCCCTCCCCAGCAAAACCCGCACCATCTCGTCTCCATCTGCCACTGAGCAGAGATGAGAATTTCTGACCACAGCGGGATCCTTGGACAGTGACAAAATTTAGTTGGCATAGATTTTTTGCCCACAATGGTGCCCATTTCCATGGTGTTTTCATTCATCCTCTTTAGGCTTTAACCCAATTCCGCTAGTAAATTGCAGCTACAGAAAAATAATTTTACCTATTTTAATTAAAAAAATAATAACACGAAACAGAGGGACCCTCGCGAGGGGTGGGGGTGGGGGGGAGTCTGGAACCCGAGCGGTCAAATAGGAAGCGCTCCCCAACCGGACCCCAAGGCTCGGGGGAAGAGGGTGTAACTAAGCCCTGAGCCGGCCCAGGAACAAGCGCTGCGCCGCTGCTTTACGTGGGGGAACCCTGGGCCGGACCCGCCGCTTCCTCTGCCCAGGTGTGCCTTAGGGGAGTTCAGGAGAGGAGGTAACTTTTGTCAGGCGGGATCCGGCAAGACCTTCACCAGCCCGGGTGGGGAGAGACCCGGAGGAGACGAGGTTTCGGGGACCGGGCCCTGAGAAGCCGGGAAGCCCAGGCCGTGGGTCCTGGTGGGACCACGCCCGCCCTCCCGCACTGCGCCTGCGCGGGGCTCGGACGCGCCGGGCCTCCCTCGTGCCTGCAGCGCCGGAGTTTCCCACAGGGCGGGCGTCCACCGCCGGCCTGAGCCCAATGAGACAAACGAACGGGCCGCAGCCCCCAGACCCGAGCCCCGTCCCAGCTCACCTGCATCTTGTTTCCAGGTGCTCAAGCCAGCTGTGCCGCGGCGCGCCCACCACAGCTCCCTTTTGTGCACGCGCACAGCACCGCCACGCCTCTTCGCCCGCCCTGCCTCCGCCCCGCCCAGGGACGAGCTGAGCGGAGTAAGGGCGGAAGCAACGGCTTTGAGTCTGCGCCCGCTCTTCAAGCAGCCGGCACAGAAGCGGTTCGCATGCGCGAGGTAGGGTCTGCCCACTGTCCCGCCTGGAGTGCACTTGACCTGGTGCTAATTCTGGTCGCTGCCTTATTAGGGCTGGTCTTCAGCCGAGGAGGGGTGGGGCTGGGTGGAGGAGGAGCCCTGGGCCGTGTGCCTTTTCCAGCTGCCTGCCCAAACCTGTAAAGACGTCTTGCTCTGACTAGCCTAGCAAGTCAGAAATAGAAAATTGCCTCTAGGCCGGGCGCGGTGGAACACGCCTGTAATCCCAGGCCGAGGCGGGCGGATCACTTGAGGTCAGGAGTTCGAGATCAGCCTGGCCAACATGGTGACGCCCCGTCTCTACTAAAACTCCAAAAAAATGAGTCGGGCGTGGTGGTGGTTGCCTGTAATCCCAGCTACTCGGGCGCCTGAGGCAGCAGAATTGCTTGAACGCGGGAGGCGAAGGTTGCAGTGAGCTGAGATGGCTCCACTGCACTCCAGCCTGGGTGACAGGGAGACTCCGTCTCAAATTAGTTAATTAATTAATTAATTAAAATGATGCAGGGTCTTCTGGAATTCGCCCACGATCACTTCGGTACTGGGAAAGGAAACTCATTAATAAGACATTGAGAGCCTAATGTGTACCAGGCACCATTCTAGGCTCTGCAGATGCAGCAGTGAGCAAAACACTAAAAGGTGAAAGTCATCTGCCGTGCCTGAGTATCAGGAGACCCATGTATGCAGGCACACAGGCACTGAGCAAAAAGCAGCAATCTGACTTGTAAAATGCAGGTCTTGGGCCCCAGAGCTTCTGCCCAGGCACACTCCGATTTTAAGAGAGCAATGTTCCTACCTGGTATGGAAGGAAGCATCTTGCACACGTGGGCTAACTTGCTGCCTCCTGGCAACTAAGCGGACACAGCTAGTAGAGACCTACACACCTGTGAGATAGGCGCAGGGCTTCCAACTGTGGCTATGCATTAGAGTCACCTGGAAGCCCTCAAAAACTACGACTGTCCTGGGGCTCCATCCCAGACAAATTAAATCCTTGGAAATGAGGCCTGGCACAGATATTTCCTTAAAGATCCTCAGGTGATGCTAAAGTGCACAATCGTTCATATAAAGTGAATCAAATGATTGCTTGAGAGCAAGGAGTTTTTATTTAATTTATAAGGATCTTTAAGATTTTTCTAACTGATTTCAACTGAATTACAGGCCCTTTTAGGGATTTGTCTCTTAATCTATCTGTCACCACAATGTTTGTTAGTGAATTTTCCTTGGGTCTCACCACCAAAATCAGGACTCGGACTAACTTTGAGTTTGATCCTGTGCTTCTTGCTCAGTCCTGCACAGCTGTAGAACGGGTGGTGTTTTGTCCTTTCCTCATCCCCAGCCTTTGCTCTTCCCTGAGGCCTGTTTTCCAGGACTCAGCTATTCCACATTTGCTTTTCCCCACATGATCCGGTCAGAGGCATTCCAACCGAAGCGACTCCATCTTGAATAGGGGATGGGGAAAATGAGGCTGAGACCTACTGGACTGTATTCCCGGAAGGTTACGCATGCTTAGTCACAGAATATTTACACTTAAGAGAAAAAATTAATAATGTTTATCAAACAGACCTAACACTTAACAGACCCAGGAAATGTCCTGGTGTCCTGAAAGATTTCTTTCTTTCTTTTGAGATGGAGTTTCACTCTCATTGCCCAAGTTGGAGTGCAATGGCGCCATCTCAGCTCACTGCAATTTCCACTTCCTGGGTTCAAGTGATTCTCCTGCCTCAGCCTCCTGAATAGCTGGGATTACAGGTGTGCGCCACTACGCCTGGCTATTTTTTTTTTTTTTTGTATTTGTAGTAGAGATGGGGTTTCCTTATGTTAGCCAGGCTGGTCTCGAACTCCTGACCTCGGGTGATCCGCCTGCCTTGGCATCCCAAAGTGCTGGGATTAAAGGCGTGAGCCAACACACCTGGCTTTGTTTTGTTTTTTTTTTGAGAGTCTCACTTTGTTGCCCACCCTGGAGTGCAAAATGGCGAGATCGCAGCTCACTGCAGCCTCCACCTCCTGGGTTCAAGTGATTCTCCTGCCTCAGCTTCCCAAGTACCTGGGATTACACGTGTGCACCACCATGCCAGGCTAATTTTTGTATTTTTAGTAGAGACAGGGTTTCGCCATTTTGGTCAGGCTGGTCTCCAACTCCTGAGCTCCGCAGCCCAAAGTGCTGGGATTACAGGCATGAGCCAGAATACTGGGATTACAGGCGTAAACCAGAGTGATGAGATTACAGGTGTGAGCTACCACACCCGGCCAAGAACAAAAGTATTCTTAAAGGTTTTGTTTTAACAATAATATAGATTACTGGGAAAGGCAGTAGTTTTCCCAGTAAAAAGGCTCAATAGTCCTATAGACAATTGTTTTTGGATAAACATAGACATTGACCCTTCTGCTGTTAAAGCTTGAAACTTGTATCTGTTTTATCTGAGTTTCTTCCTCGGGAAAGGACCTTCAGGCCTCTCAGAAAAAGTATCAAAGAACTGAAATTCAACAGATCACTAGCACCAGATGCCTCCTTGCCCCTCCCTCCTCTTGTTTTCTTACACAGGGTTGCATTTCTTCCCTGCTGTATAAACCCCTAGTTTTAGTCAGGGAAATGGATTTGAGACTGATCTCCTGTCTCGTCTCATTGTCTCCTGGGCTGCAGCACCCAGTTAAAGGCTTTTTCCTTGGCAATACTTGTCATCTCAGTGATTGGCTTTTGTTGTGGCCAGCAGCAGGACCTAGACCTAACTCCTGGTGTTTTGGTAACAGTCACGCAAAGTCGTTTGTCACAAGCCTTGGTAGTACCGCACGTGTGCCCATGATTTTCGATATTACATCTACACAAGCATTGTACCTAAGGTGGATGCATTCCTCCTCTTGCTTTCCGGAATGCCCTTGTCTGTCTATGGAGTACCCGTTCTTTCATTCCTTTACTTTCTTAATAAGCTTGCTTTCACTTTACTCTGTGAACTTGTCCCAATTTCTTTCTTGCCAGAGATCCAAGAACCTTCTCCTGGGGTCTGGGTTGGGACCCTGTTTCTGCTAACAATCCCTCTCCAGGGATTAACAAACCAAACGCCCACACCCTACTGCCCTATCAGCCGTTTGAAAGGTGTCCCCCTTCCTTTTTTTTTTTTTTTTTTTTTTTTTTGAGAAGGAGTCTCCCTCTGTTACCCAGGCTGGAGTGCAGTGGGGCGATCTCGGCTCACTGCAACCTCCGCCTCCCAGGTTCACGCCATTCTTCTGCCTCAGCCTTCCGCATAGCTGGGACTACGGGCGCCCGCCACCACGCCCGGCTAATTTTTTTGTATTTTTGGTAGAGACGGAGTTTCACCGTGTTAGCCAGGATGGTCTCAATCTCCTGACCTCATGATCCACCCGCCTCAGTCTCCCAAAGTGCTGGGATTACAGGCATGAGCCACCGCGCCCGGCCCCATCCCTCTTACTTTTGTCGAAATTATTCTTTTGTTATTCTTTCCACCTGTGCTCCAAATCCTGTCACCTTCCTCAGGGACTTCTTCCATCTTTCCATCCTTCTTGGCTGTGGAGAAAATAATTACAGCTTATGAGAACAGATTAGAGACATACGAATTAGAAAAAATAAACTATTTCTATTTGTGAATGATATAGCACACCTGGAAAACTCAGGGGAACCGAGTATTAAATTCATAGTAACGATATGAGAATTCAGTAAAGGAGCAGGATATAAAATTAACATAAAAATAGTCTTCATCCGTGTTTACAGTAACAAACTACAAGATATAATGGACTCCAATTACAATAACAACAGCAAAGAAAAAGCTCTTGGAAATAAAGAAGTAGGCAAAACCTGCATGAATTAAATTGAAAAACTTTTCTGAAGATACAAAAGTAGACCAGAACAAATGGACAAACATCCTTTATTTTTGGATAGTATGACTCAACATCATAGAGATGTCAATTTTCTCCAAGTCAATATGTAAAATTTAACACAATGTCAGAAATCCAACAAATTATTTTTTGAGGCTAGGCAGCTTGACTCCAAAGTTTTTATCAAGAATAGCACAAGGCAGGAGGGAGAGCTAGCCCTACTAAACCTTAAAACAATGTGGTGTTAGTACATAAATAGACAAAGAGATCAAGAGAGCAGCATAGCAAGTTCAGAACAAGTCCAGAAATAGAGCCTAGTACATATAAACATTAGTGTATGCTTAGATGAGACGGCATCTCAATCTGCTGGGATGGACTTTAAATAAATGGTGTTGGGACAATTGGATAACCATTTGGAAATAGATAAAATTAGATACATACTTCACAGTGTATATCAGAATAAAAAGTAAAAACTAAAAGTACTAGGAGAACACATGGCATAATTTCTTTATAACCTAAAAATGGAAAAAAACTTTGATTACTCAAAGTCTAAAAGAAATCAAATTAAAACAATGATAGATTCTGCTACTTAGTTTTTTTGTATAGGAATAATGTATATAAGCATGCTGCCTTTTGTGTAAAATAAAAGGTGAAATAAAATACATTTATGTCGGCCAGGCACGGTGGCTCACGCCTGTAATCCCAACACTTTGGGAGGCCAAGGAGGCTGGATCACATGAGGTCAGGAGTTCAAGACCAGCCTGACCAACGTGGTGAAACCCTGTCTCTACTAAAACTACAAAAAATTAGCCTGGTGTGGTGGCAGGTGCCTGTTTGGGTGAGGGAAAAGGGACAAGATGGAGGAAGGTGAACAAGATGGAGCAGTCCCTGTTGTTTCCGGGTTCTTCATCACAGATTTTCCCCTCGCCCGGGAAAAATTCCCGCGCCCGGGGAAAAGAACCAAATCAACTGAGCCTGCGCAGAATGATGTCAAGCCAGGGACACCGAAATTCAAGAAGCCACTCCTACACGCACGCCCCAAACTCCTCCCCTTCCAGCTCCCAGGCATAAAAGTCCCCCGCGGGCAGGAGCCCGTGTGACTTCTTCGGCCCCCAACATTCGTGGACCGGAGAACATCACCCGAGAGCGCCGGTGTGACTTCCCTGGCCCCCCACACCTGAGGACCAGAGAACCTGGTCCGAGAGTGTATGCATATTTGCAAATAAAAGGCTGCCACTTCGCTCGTTTTGGCCTTTATTGATATTTAGTCTTTGCGTCTATTAATAGTAGTAAAAGAGAAACAAAACAATGCCTATAATCCCAGCTACTGGGGAAGCTGAGGCAGGAGAATAATTTGAACCCGGGGGGTAGAGGTTGCAGTAAGCTGATACTGTGCCACTGCACTGGGGCCTGGGAGACAAAGACAGACCCAGTCTCAAAAAAAAAAAAAAAAAAACAAACAAAAAAAAAAACCAAACATTTATGTGTATATTC